GATATCGTCAAGCCAGTTCTCAAGCAACAAACGTCGTTCCAGCATTCTCCCGTGTCGAACCTGTCGCTTGCATCTTTCGAGGATGCGATTTTGAACAACCTGCAGGTTATCGTAGACCTGGGACTCTATTGTGGTACCGGCCACGAAGCTTTGACCATTGCCTCTCTTCAATTGCTAGAGAAGATGGCGTCTTCGCGGAAACTTGCAGTCTCGCCTGCAGGCTTCGGACAACGATCAGGGCGAAGCAAGATTGTTGGCATACTAGAGAAAGACAATGAAGCCGAGCGCATCGGCCGGTCCCTCTCAGGCCTAATGCGTTTCAGCGCCGAAGAGCTCGAAGCTGGCGAGGATGCTTCAGGATATGTTGTCAAGCTGCGCGTTTTGGACTTCTTGAACAGCTGTCTAGCTGCCGTGTCCCTCCGGCCGACCATAGCGCATATCCTTCTCGGCTTCTCATGTGGACCCAACACTGTCCGCGTTGGAGAGAACAGCCTCTGGTCAAACGGACAAGCCTTATTCCACAGCATACTCCTTCTTGGGGTTCAGTATCCTGACAATGACGGCGAACAGTTCATAGCTTGGCGGTCTGCTCTTAAGACCCGATGCTGGGATGTTTTGCAGAAGCTCTGGCGGTCACCGCTGACAAGCGCGCTTGTGATGGAAGAGCTCCGTGACAACGAGCTGCTCTTTGTGGAGGCCCCCCAACTAACTCCCATTACCCTTGAGATACCCTGGGACGGAATGTCACTTGCGCAAGGGCTCGAGGTCACGCCTAACGATTACTCTCCATTCTTCTCAGGACCACCAGCATTCGCCCTCCAGAGCTTCCTTCAAAGACGCGCTGCTTTCCTCGACTATGAGTCGAGAGAGCTGCGCTTGACAGTGAAAGAGAGCATGCCGACTATGAAGTCTAGGATTCAATCTGTCCTTCTCGGTACCACGATCCGGCCCGGCGAGGACGCAATGCCAAACCCGAACATCTTCGATCTTTTTGACTTCATCGAGCTGACCTATCCTGAGCGCGCTCTGCCAGATCAACACAAGTTCTTCGAAGGTGTCAATCTGACCTCATGTCAGGAGGAAAAAGAGGGTAGCACTCTCTATTCTTTGCCACTCTTGGAACAAGTCATCCGTCTCAAGATGAAGTACTGGCGGAAAGAGGGCATATTGACTGATCAGGAGCAAGAAGAGCAACTTGTTGAGCAAGCAGAATTGCTCATGGCTATCTTCGTGGACTGGAACCGTCGCACGCAACTTCTCCGCTACCACAAGGACATTCTACAGTCGTGGGTTCAAGTCGTCATGGTCGCGGTACACAGCTGCGATTTCGAGAACGGCGCGCGCAGTTCGTTCATCATGCAGACGCTACAAGTCATCTTACCCAAGCTTGAGCAGTCATACTCCTCCGACATCTTCACGGCTCTCCAACTCGCCAGCCTAGCAGAGGCTCTCATTCAAAAGGTCGACTTTGAATCAACCGCATTCGACAAGACAGGCGACTTCGCAAACGACCGCCTCTCTCAACTCTTCCGCGCGGCGCTCATCGGCATATACAGCCCCGTGTCCACCGCCGAACTACGGGAATACTGCTACCAGATCTGCTTCCGCTACATCCACGGGACCTTCAATAAAGCAACACCCAACTCGCTCCTCGGCCGCCACACCCTCAGCGCCATCAAGAACTGCGGCACCAACATGCTCGAAGTGATCTGCGATGACGCCTACAGCGGCCAAGGTACCTGCAAAGTCTCCGCGCTCCTCCTCCTTAACGCCTTTGTCTCAGCCGCAACACGCCAATCCTCAAAATACATCCTCGACAGCTTCGTCTCCCTCAACTTCGTTGGCGTCCTCGTCGACAACATCAAGCACATACCCGAAGAACTCTCCGCCGCCGCCGCACCGCTCGTCCCCGTCCTCCTCTCCTACTACGATGCCAGTCTCGCTCTCCTTCTTCGCGTATGCCAGTCCCGTCTCGGCGCCGCACACGTCCTCAACGCCGGTCTCTTCCCTGCTATACGCGACTCGCAACTTTTTTCCGTAGACCCAGATATTGGTCTTGAGTTCGACGACCCGAATGCGCTGCGCAAGTACTACGAGCTTATGCTCGCTGTGCTGCGTGTTATCAATGCCGCAGTGATCGCGCGAGGACGGCAAAACGACCAGACGGTATTCCAGGCGAGAGAGTTCTTGAAGGATAACAGGCACAGTATGGTCAGTATTTTTAAGAGGAGTGTTAATGTTGGTGTGGGCATGGGCGAGGAGCTGCAGCAGGATATTGTGGATTTGGTGGATTGTTGGACCGTTTTGGTGGATGTTACCGGGTTTTTGCAGGTAAGACTTCTTGACATGAAAGGCGACGAGGATATTGATGCTAACATTTTGCAGTATGAGGACCAGTCGAGCGCGAAGAAGGTTAGGGTGAACATGTTCTCTTGATGAACATCACGCTTGGATGAATGAAGGTGGAATGAGCAACCTCTGGTGCGCTTCCAAGGTTGTTGGAATTGTGGAAATATTTAGTAATAGAAGAATCGTTTTGAACTATTGCCGATTCGTCCCTGCCATGCTTGCAGTATTGGTGTGGATTTGCAGCTCAATGATGACGTCGTAATTAAACTAATGTTAAATGTGATTCATCTAGATACGGACCCACGAGACCTGGTCGGAACCCGAGTTCGGATTCAACAGGACGTTGGTGTTGTGTGTTGCTTGGCATACTGTCCAAATCGGGAAAGTGTCCGATAGCTGTCGATTGCGGGTGTCTGCATTGTTACCACAGGTCCTCCGAGCGGTATCCCACCCGAAAATATGTTGCACTCACACTTGTATCCCGAACTTTCGTAACACTGGCCGAGAGCTACATCAGACTTGGACACCTTTGAGCCGTACTCACTTTATTGTGTCCAGATCATACTGCACGATGCGGCGCCCGCTGCAAAGGCCACCTCGCCGGTCCTTCTGATCGTACCGTGGTTGACTGACGCTGCGCTACCGACTAGGCAACAATGCCACGTATCTCGCGTTGTCTTGTCGAATGTGAAATTATAACACAGACCTTGCTCCCTCACAATCGGCACAGTACGTAAATCTGCTCAGTCGCACCCTCTCACGTCACCGACCCCAGCTAAGCTCGACAATGGCACAAAACACACCTGTCGAATGCACGCGCGTTCGCCCTGTGGACACGACTACCGCTGACCCTACCGGTACCCCGCGAACTCCGCGACCTGATCTATGAGGAGTATGTCCGCGTGGACGGTGGGTACATATACAACCCCGAAACAAACAGACTTGCGCAGGCAGATGGCTCCTCGATAGATTTGTCGCTACGCCTCGTGTGTCGACAACTCGCGTCGGAATTTCAGGGCCTTGCGCTGAAGTTAAATACTATCACGTTCGAGACATGCTTTTCGGAGACTTCACGGGAAGACGCAGGGATGTACCACGCCATGATTAAGAGGATTGCGTGGCGCAAGCGGGAAGTGGTGAGGACATTTGCTCCGCAACTCTTTACACCCAGAATGGCCAAAGTAGTGGCGGATACCTATCCACGGCTCTCGCCAGTCTTGGAGGGCTGGAGTAGAAGATCAGAACCTGAACTTGAGGTCTTGGCCACACCGGATGTAGACTGCGGTGAAGTTCCTTCGATTTGGCGCGACTGTCTCAGTGCTGTGCTGAGTCAGATCTCAGAACATTCAGATTTCGATGCGACTGTACTGGAAGAAGGCAAGGCCAGACCACGTTGGATTCCAAGCAATAGTCGACACATGTCCGAACTCATCAACGCAAGCCCAGTACTCTGGCATATACCCAGCAGGGCTGAACGCAATGAGCTAGCAGCTGTCGCCAAAGTTGAACCAAGCTATCCTTTCTACAAACAACGGACGAAATACACCTATTCCGCAGCCTCGTTAGCACTTCGCTTCCTACAGTCACTTCCCGACACAGCGCTTGCGGCGATTCGTAGTATCCGTCTGCTGGAGAGTCATGAAACTGTGGCACATCCGGAATGCCACGGCCGCGGCTTTATCAAAATATGCCAAGAATACCCAAGTATCTGTATTCAACGCTTCGCTAGTCTTTGGAAGGCTGTTTTTGACGTTGAGCTCGAGAGCCGACTCAACTATAGCTCCTTCAACGAAGATGGAGTGGATAGTTTCATGTTTGAGAGAGACCGATTAGCTGCCAGCGACATTACATACGCAGTGGGTACATGGGTGACCGAAGCACTGACTTTGCCCTCCCTTGGGATGCCGCATGGATGCTTCACGCTTATCCTTGATGGCAATCCGACACCTGATTACATGACCGAAATCTTTGATGTCGTGCAGCGAGACGTGGCTTTCCAGGCCGCACTCGACGTTGCATATGCTACTGGCTCGTTACCCGCACCGACATGGGTCGCTCGGAGACGTTGTACTGGCTACATGTTCGACGTTCTGCCGGCATTCATCCAAACGCTCTCGACAGATAGCCCACTCGTACGCTGTAACTTTGATCCCGGCCAAACTCACGACGCTAACAAGATCGCGGATGAACGTCGAGAATGGACTCCTCGGGATTGGAAAGAATCTTGGGACAGGCATTCTCCACGCGAGTTCCAAACCAAGGCTCCACTACCTCCATGGCATGAGCTACGATGGCAGTATGTGATAGTATAATAGCGGTTCAAGTAATCGAACTACGGCGTGCAATCACGATATGGGGAGAAGCGATAATCGTGCGTTCGTAATCCCTGGGTTCTCAACATTTTTATGTACCTAGCTTTGCTTTACTAGTTTCAAAACCCTAGTGTTCAACGACCTCTCAGAACACAACATGGTTGCGAAAGTACCTGCTCAAGAACATACTCATGACACTTCGAATACATGTTCCAGCCCATCGGTGTATCCCAGGCCTTCAACTTCTACCGGCACCGAGTGGTGGCATCGAACACTACAATCGCATCTCAGAGGACTGGCCTCAAGTCAGTAAAGACACACTCTTTACGAATGATGAACTCACAATTTGTCGGCAGGCATGGACATGATCGTTGATACCTTCAAACTCATATCACAATCAAGAGTCCTCCGCGATGCTGCCAAGATTTCTTCCCATGTTTCTAGATTGCTCTCCTTGAAGTAACCAGAGAAGGTCACCTTGGGAACATTCCTCAGGCGATCGAACGCCAATACGAAGAACAGATCAACAAACTTCCTCTGACAGGAAGCCGTATTGCGGAGCATATCGTGAACATGGCGCCACGGGTCGTTGATACTGAAAGTCTCGTCGCTAAACGGATTGTTGGGAATCTGGAAGTCGAAATGAAAGTGATCAAGGTTGAGGTTGGTGAGGATATCAAGGGTGAATTCTCCAGACGAAGTGCAAGGCTTGAATCCGCGCTTCCCACTGCTTCGGAAACCTAAGAGACGGAAAAACTGGCTGTTGCTCATGCTGAGTGCTAACCGACTGAGGGTGTTGAAGCCAGTCATGGATTTCACCGACTGAAGTAGCGGGATAGATGCGCCCATAGTATGGAGACGGGTGTAGCGCTTGACGGTGGACTCCCAGAGCATCTTCTGGAATTCGAAGCTGAACTGTCGGCTGACCAGGAGCAGGCTCCTCATCTAATGTGAGTTTTTTCTTGACAGCCCATCGGTGGAAAACGCATCGGGTCCCAGCCGATGTGACTTGCGGCATCCGTACGTGGGTTTGATGACTTCGTATGGTATATTAATGCTAATAGTTTTCGGCTAGCTAGCGGTTTGGAGAGCAAGGCTTGCTAGTCCTCGAGGCTCGTTTTCCAGGGGTTTGGTGTGAACGCAAGTTTCGGACTTTTCAATCTCGCCCTCACTCATGAGCGCGGGAAGTTCTTCGTCTTCCGAGTCATAAATGATGGTTTCGTCGTCAATGGTACCACGTTCTTCTTGTGATTCCAGCAGCGCGTAGCATGGCTCGCTGCTGTTGTCGTCGGCATAGCAATTGCGGCACTCAACTTTTGCTCGTGGCCAGATAGCTGGTCCGATCAAAGCCTCGAGCACGGTGAACCGTAGTTCGGTGGGAAGTCTCATGTAGTCGAAAGTCTGCGTCATTAGATTTGTACTCTGAAGATAAGGATTTACTAGAACATACTTGCAAAAGTGTGTGCTCATCAAAACAGCCATCTTTAGCTGAGCACATTCTAGGCGCATGGCGCTTGTCCCAAGTCTCATTCCATTCTAGGTATATGACGTTGGCCACGCTCCGACGCTTCTCATGTTCGCCATCGTGAGAAAGGAGGCAAGAGGCACACTGCAGATCTGCAGACATGGCTGTTGAGAGTATATTGATAGTTAAAGTGGAAGATTTGAAACTAGTTTAGGCTTATATATCTAGAACAAGCGGGAGAGACTGTAAATGAAAGAGATCGATAAGGAAGGAGGTGCTTGGTAAGGTAAACGCCGGTTCGTGAGCTCGCATTGAAGACCGTGCAAAGTTAGCAATTCACAGTGCTCTCTGCGAAGGAGAGTCATCGCCTCGAGAGGTATGCCATCTACAGGTCCGCGAGTGAACTATACCGGATCCGGTATAGCAGCTTCATCGAGATAGTACCTAGGTACTGAGATGGTCAGCTAGCTACCTGCGCAAAAAGCCACATACCGTTGCTCGTACATCGAGTTTTTCGCGAATGCAGCGAAAAGAGCGGATCTTCGTCACTGGTCGATGCGCGAGCATTTGATAGCGCTATGGGAGCTTTCATAAAACCATGATGTACCGAGGTAAGCCGTCAGAAGCTTGTGCGTGATGACGCTAGGCATGGGTTGCCAAAAGCCGCGGCGGGCTCCCGCTGGGAACTTCACTTCGTCACCACCCGATCGTGGGTACCTCATCATTTGTCCACGTCGCGTTCGCACTTGCCCGACTAGGTCTTTGAAGACAGCAACCTGCTGGACTGTTACGTGGCCACCGAGTCGCAAAAGCTGTCGCATCACCCCGCATAACACCGGCGCTCGATGCAGGGTCGCGAAAGTCTTCTTAGCATCCACAACGCATCTGCAGTTGATGCAACTCCTCATCCTCGATGAGTCAGCCAAGACAAGCCGCCGGGATGCCCGCCACGGAAGGTGCAGCCCTGCCCAGCTCCAAGGATGATGTCCAACCACCAAACTCAACTGTACGGCCTGCCATCCTCCGTCTGCCACGCGAGCTTCGGGATCTCATTTATGAACATTACGTTCGCATCGAAGGCGGTTACACATACGATTATGCATCGAACAAACTCCGAGAACCCGATGGTCGCCCCGTCTCTATCGCCCTTACCGCGTCCTGTCGACAAATTGCTTACGAGCTTCGTGGCCTTCCCTTTAGCTACAATGCAATCACATTCTCTACGTATTTCTCGGACTCAACAAACAAAGATGCGGGCGTCTTTCATAGCACCGTGGAAAGCATCTCACTCGCGAAAAGAGGGCTGATACGGCATTTGATACCACTTCTGCTTACAGAAGACATGGCACAGGAAGCTAGTCAAGCTTTTCCACAATTCGAACAGATCTTTGACGAGTGGGAGCCTGGAAGAAGCATCGACGCGCTACGCAATTGGGACTTTACTGGCGGTGAAGCCCGTTCCGTGTGGGAAGACTTCAAGCAGCTCATCTTAACTTTACTTTCAAAGCATCCCAGGTTCCTCCAAGTATTGGAGGCAGCCCCTGAACATTGCACAAGGCGTAAAGGATGTAAGGTCCCCGGGTTAAGAAATGCTTGCGTGAAACCCTGGTCAGTTCCCGATATCATCGAAATTGAACGACTCGCAGACATCGTGAATGTTGAGCCCGAGCGGCCGGATTATTGGTCCAGTACCCGCTATTGCTTTTCCGCAGTACATGCAGCTCTCCGCTTCCTACAATCGATCCCTGCAACGACCCGCGAAATGATACGCAAAGTCATTCTACTTGAGGACCGTCCAGCTGTGGCATATCCACATTGTCATGCACGAGGCCTGATCCCCTTTTGCCAAGAACACAAGGAACTCTGCTTTGAGCGTGTCGTCGACCTGTGGAGAAACGCATTTCCCGTGTCAACCAGAGCAATGTACGACTACATCAGAAGAAGTCAGGATGGCGACGATGTGAACACTATGCGGGATGATCGCTTGATCTCTGCGACAATCAGTGATGCCATAGGTTCTTGGATGACGGAAGCGCAAGCGCTGGGAACTCTTGGAATGCCGGAAGGGTCGCTCACCCTCATATTCAACGGCGCACCCAATCTAGAACAAGCTTCACGTGCCTTTCAAGTGGTACAACGAGATGCTGCCTGGCAAGTAGCTTTAGATGTTGCATACACAAAAGGCACGCTTCCTCATCACTCGTGGTCAGAGCGGCGGCTTAAAACAGGGTACATCACCGAGTGCTTTCCAGACGTTGTCGCAAACCTTTCAAAAAAGGATGCGCCTATTCGATGCAACTTCAGCCTTGGTACCCCGTACAGCCCCAAGAAGCTGGGCCAAGATCACCGCGGATGGGATGATGATAACTGGGAGTCTCGTTGGAACTCTTATGATCAGGCCAAATTTCAAACAGAACCGCCACTCCCTCCTTGGCATATCCTGCGATGGGGCTATGTCCTTACAAGATGAAACGTCGCCATACATCTTAAGCGCTTAAATCTCTTGGACTTGGTAAGCGTTGCGCAGACCTCAGACCCCACTGTATGGAAGTTTGCATCGCGTGGGTACCGTGGCAGTGCAACCACTGTTGGGCGTCTCTCAAGCCCCGGACTAGCATTTGCAGGGACTGTGGCGTTGTGTTTGACCCCCATAGCAGGTTCTGGGAGCAGATGTCCTCTAACAGGGTTCCTTTGAACTATATGCCAACGATTTGCGGTTGTCGCATCTCAATCTCGCGCTCAGCATGCGAAGTCATGGTGCATCCAATGTACCCATATCATTCCGGCGAATGAATACCAAAGAGACCAATACATGAGCCCCAAAGAACAAGCAGAATTTCCATGTGCATGCACGCCCGCCTGGACGGTCAACACTATGCAACGAGAGGCGTTAGCTTGGCTGAGTCCGCTACGTTGGCGAACCGGTGGCACCGATATCCGCAACGACGATGGCTTCCACGATATTTGGGAGGCGCAGCACGGAATCAGAGACGTGTTGTATCGAATGATGGTAATTACGACAATGCCCGTAGGGTACCGAAAAGATGCTAGAATAAATAAGATAAAGTGGGTCTACCGATTTTCTCCTCCGTACAGATCGTTGCTGCCTCCACGAAAAGACACATACCAACGGAGCCTCATTCAGAAACGGGTCGCATACTGTGCGATGGATAATTCATCGATTGCGGGTATTGCTCTCAGCCTCTTCGTGTGACCATGCGGCGGGCAGGCCGACGCGAAGGCATGCAATCACCCCAGCGAGTCTAAGGGTCCTCGGCTGTTACTGCACCGTACCAGAGTTGAGCCCTTAGGCAACAGCCAGCTACAGTTGCGTTACCATTGCGGTACAATTGAGTGGACAACTGATATTGCAACTATGGTCTTGGCAATCACGGCTTTTGCTACTTATATGCAACAGACGCCACATCCACTTGCTTTGTACTATTCATCCTTATTGCCATCAAGAAACTCACCGGTTTCCGAATCTCCCACCCGCTTCACGAAGCGATGATTGCTGAACATCTAGCTACGCTCATGGACGAAACCTGGGGCTTCTTCACCAATCAATTCTTCATCAGGGAATGTATAATCATTTTCTTAAGGATACTTCTGTTTCCTTTCATCAGAAGACTTCTGTTCACTCACATTAGAAGACCTCTGTTTATCCGTATCAAGAGTTATCTCGTTACCCACATCAAGGAACCTCTATTCGCTCGCATCAAAGGGCTTTCTTTCAATGCATCAGCACCCAGGAACATACGCTGTACGACCATAGCCATGGCTTCCCCCAGTCGTCCAACGCACATGCAACTACAGTCACCCCTCTTTCGGTTACCGCGGGAACTACGAGATCAGATTTATGGCTATTACCTCCTTTGTGATACAGGCCTGAAATACGACTTCGACAAGAACAAACTGACGCGGGCGGACGGCGAACACATCGATCTATCACTTACGTACGCGTGTCGTCAGGCCGCAGCCGAGCTGCACGGTCTCGCTTTACGACTCAACAAGATTACTTTCCGTACCGTAAGTCCGGGGGCATCAAGGTACAACGTAGGAATGTTTGACATGGCTCTGGGCAAGCTGCACATGAAAAAGAACTATCTACTTGATCAGATAGCGCAGTCATACTTGACAGACGAGTCAGAAGGATTGATATGTGCTGTCTACCCACAATTTGCCCCTCTTCTACAGACATGGAGACTAGAAGGCCCTCTTCTACAGACGTGGATACTAGGCCCAAGATGTTGGGGATCTACTCCGACCACAGTTATGGCGAACCACCTTCCGTGTATCGCGACTTCGTCAACTTCGCTTTACACGTCCTGGAGGATATCCCGCACTCGAGCAAGTCATCTGATCTGTCGATATTACCGCACCTCGAACCTTGGCAACACCCGGATGATGAAGCGCTCGAGGAGCTCCTGGGCATCGCATACGCTAGAGATTCTCGCACTCGTTTGGCACCGGGACAGGTGGTCAGGCGTGCTACCGTTTCCGCCGCTAGTTGTGCCATCCGATTCCTAAAGGCTCTTCCGACTTCAATACGCTCAGAACTCAGACAAGTCGACCTGATCGAAGACCGCGAGTCTGTCGCATATCCAGAATGCCATGTAAGAGGTCTGATTCCTTTTTGCCAGGAAAACGAGAAATTGCGTATTCATAGACGCGTTGACCTATTGTGGAATGTACTTTAGTGTCTTCATTTGGGCAAATATACAATACATTCGGAGACTGTATTGCCGATAGTTGCAGGTTGGCTAGCGGAAGCGATGGCATTGCCTCTTCTGGGTATACCTAGCAGGGCCTTCAAGATAATGTTCGAAGACAGCGAAGCCGCGCCGGATGCAATCAGTAAGGTCTTCGATGCCTTGCAGCGAGACGTCGCGTGGCAAGTTGCTGAAGACCTGAGCTACAAGCG